AGTTGTGATTGGCCGGCCAGGTGGCTGCCAGACAACACCCGAGGCTTCTCCTTAGGCACAGACCCTTAGATGCCAACACACACCAGTGCTGCCATAGTGCCGGGCACAGCCTCCCACTCCATGGAACCCTCGCCCTAAGTCAGGGAAATGTACCTGCAAGGCGCGCGTGCACACCCGCATATACCCCGCGATCATCCTCATCCTACGAGATATACAAGGACAGACTCCCAGACACACAGTGTCACCACATTGTGGCACACGCAATCTACACAACTGCACATGCACCCCACCCAAGACTTTTTCCACATACTCCACTGTAGCCGTGACCCCTGCAGATTCTAACGCGCGCGAGCGCGCGCGCACACACACACACACACACACACACACCTAGAATCACAATGTCTGGCTCAGACACACAACTGTATCTCCACAATTCACACAAACACAACTGCGTCACAGGCTTAGCTCACACACTCAACCTACACAAACACGCAACCACAGTTCCCCCCCCCGCCCCGCTTAACCCGCATGCACAGACCCCAGAGCGCCTCGCATGGCCCACACGCGTCCCAGCCCAGACCCATTCTGTCCCCGCCAAGCCCTAGCGAGGCTCCGGCCGGGCCTCAGGACTTTGTTTCCTGCGACTCGAGGCGGAGACTGGGAGGAGCCGAGACTACCAGAGCCGCGCGCAGGCCGGAGGCTTCTTTCTGGCCAGCCGGCTCCTCACGGCCCTTCTCCGGCCACAATCCGCCCCTCGCACAAAAGCGGCCCTGCAGGTACGGGGCCCGGGCCAACGCGTCCGCTCCGGCTGTGCTGCCAGGATTAGGGGCACAGGCGCCCTGGGCATGAGCCAGGAGGGGGTAACAGACCCAGGAGGGGCAAGGCTCAGGAGCTCCTTACGCCTTGGAAAACAACGTCCCTCTTTCAGCCTTCCCGACCCCCGGTCACGCGGAGGAAGCAGACCAGAGCGAAGACGGCGCACGAAGAAGGCGCCTGAACTTCGCGGAGAGAGTAGCCAGGCCCTACATGCGCTGTGCATTTCCTTTGACCAGCGCAAAGAAATGCAGTCAGAGACCTTAGGCCTCTGCTTGTACCATCCACTCCCGCACGAGGCTTGGCACTGCGGGGTGCACGTGAAAGGTCCACAAGTAATCCACATGGGGACGTGTACCCTACCTCCCCATCGGGGTTACAGGCTGGGCAGAGCAGCTGGCCCACGCGACACACAGACCGCTGCCCTGGGCATCTAGGCTTGGCACCCATGTCTCTTGAGGGGGACACAGATAGGGATGAAGGCGTCCCATGTACCTCTGCGCATCCCGGTTCAGAGAGCTAGCCGCAGCCCAAGGCGCGCGCTGCCCCAGGGATGCAGTCACGAGGCACACGCGCCCCGCGCACCCTGCCCCGCGCCCCGCGTCCAGATAGTCATCGTGGGATGGCATCTCGCAAATATTTATATTCCTCAACGCCACGGCAGCCTGCGTCCACATTAGACGCTTTAATCCTGCCACTTTAAATAGATGAATTAATAAAGCAAACGAGCGGCTAATAAGCTGACGGTCCTGCCTTTTTGAGGCGGGGGGAAGGACTCGAAAGTGCGCCAAATTTGTTTGCAGTGGATCAAGGCGAGCCGCCTCTGCTTCACTTTCTTTATCTTAATTCCGACTTGAAAAGATATAATTATCTAGTTTGAACAGAGCTGCTATCAAATCCTTCTTTGGACCGGGAAGGGGGGCGTTGGAGTGGATTGCGGCTCTCTGAGCCGCTCCGTGTAGCCGGAGATATCGCGTAATGAAGATGTGGCTGCCCGAGATACAAAGGGCATTAACCTCATTAGCATGAAACCTTTTCTTCTTACCATTGTGGGACCCTTTCAGCCGCCTAATCCCCCCTATTTTCAAAGCTTGGTTTGTAATAAAGCTTTTAGGTTTTTTTTTTTTTCCAAAGCTAATAGTATTCTCTGATGATTATATTGCTGTTACACTATATAGGACGTTTAAAAAAAAAAATCTCTGCCACCCTCTCCCCTTTCTTCTACTTAAATAATAATAATAAAGTATATGGTTCCTGAGAAATAGCCTTTTGTCAAGATGGGAAGTTTCTGTTGTCGGTTTGTTTTGTCTTGCGGTTTGGGTTTTGTTTGGAAAGGCCAATTAAGTTTTAAGGGAACTGAGCTCAGTGTCCCCAGCATCCCAGGTTTAAGGGAACTGGTGGAAGAGGAGGGACTTGTAATTACTTAAGCAAAAAGGATGCGATGCCAGCAGAGTGACAGCAAAGACTCAGGACAGCAAGTGGTCATGGTGGATTTAGGAGGAAGTGGTTGTTCACAGTGAACCCCAGTCCACACCTGTTTCTGTGTGGCCAAGCCCCGGCCCTCCTGAGCCCTCTCCTCTGGGCATCTCTCTGTAGCTAAGTAGCCAGGGGTCCACCTAGAAGATACACACCTTTGAGAGATCACTCTCAAAAAAAAAAAAGGAAAAAAGCCATCATGGACAGCCTGGGTTCTAGAGGGGAAATAGAGGCAGAGAAATAAGAAAACATAGAGATAAAGGGAAAGAAACCAAGAATGAATTCTACTTTAGAGGAGAAAAAGGAAGGGGGGGGGGAGAGAAAGAACATTTCCATAGTGCCCTGTAGTCCCCACACGTGCACGGAATGTCTAATCTTAACTTTTCAAGGCAGGATGTTAACAAAGCTTGTATTTTTGCGCTGCATTGTAACTTGGCCTTATCACTGTGTAAAGGGTGGGGAGATTGTCCTAAATTATGTCCAGGCAGCCCCCCTGGATCCATGGATTAAGAGATTAAAGGAGACCACTGGGCAAGGCCTCCTCTTTCCCCTTCATATTCCTGGTATGATAATTGCTTAAACTGATTTGCACTTTCACAAAAGCTTGCAGGATGCTTTGTAGCTTGAACAGAACAGACGAGGTTTCTCTATCAATGGAAATAAAACTGATTAATGCAGCCTATCAGGATAAGAAGCAAATGAAGCATGCAAAAACAACCTCGTACCCCCAGAAGGGGGAAGGGGGGAGCAAAGTTTCCTCCAAGACTGGTTACAACTTTTTCTTTAAAGTTAAGAGTTGGAAGTTTCTCAGAATGCTTGCCTTATAAGGTTGCTGACGGCACTGGACTTGCTTCATCACCTCCAGGAGATCAGGGCCGAAGAGAAAGAAAAGAGACAGAGAGAAGAAAGAGGGCACTTGTATTTTGGGGTTTTAAGTCAGAAATATAGTTTGAAAGTCCCAAGACGCCAAATTCACTAAGTATTATCCTCAATCCTGAGGGACTATCACTTAGTAGATACTTGCATTTCCATATTTTAATTCATCACCACCACTAGCATCATTGTCATCTTCATAATAACCAGAGATTAAGAGAAGTCAGTATTTTTGACCTGAAATGCAAACAAAACTCCTTCAATGGCGCACTCAATGAGCAAAGGTCTCCCATTCCTTTTCTGAAGGACTTAAATTAGATTTTTCTAGTCCTCTCCCTTTTCCACCTCCACCTCTCCTTAAAATGCCCAAGAATGCATCAATCTGTCCCTTTTGTTGGGAAAGGGATGCCTGGATTTCTTTAATCCAGCTGGGGGAAGAGCACACTCCAAAGTATAAAGATACTTTAAAAAAAAAAAGTCTGCTTCAATTTCCCAAGACGACTACTCTGCGGGCATATTGATAAATCTTTATTGACAAAATATTGACATTGACATACTTCTTGGAAGTATATAGTGTGTTAGAATTCTAACAAATTAACACAAAACACAAAAATATTTACATTCTGGTATAGAAGACATTAAGGAAGCATTTGCCACTCTCTTTAGTAAGTCTATGCTCTTGGAATAGAAACCCAGTGCTCGAAAACTTGTCGCCATGTCCTTGGCCACCCTTAACATCATTCCCAGCTAACTACACTCCTTCCATTTTTGCAACCGATAGATTTTTTTTACATTTGGAATGGCCTCGATAGTGAATGGTTGAACTCGGCCAATTTCTCCAACCACTAAGGGGAGACGTTTACTTCGTGGTTTTCAGCCTCAGGATGTTAGGGAAGGGAATGTCCAAGAAACAGAATTAAGTTAGGGATTTATTTTTCCAGCATTTGTCCTGACTCCACTGTGGGGCCCTCCCCCACCCTCCCCAGTCCCCACCTCCCTGTCTCTCTGGAAGAGGACCACGATGGCTGAGCTTACTTCACTTAGCTTTCACAGTCACTGACATCAGAAGGTATCAAAACGTGGTCACACACTGCACATTTCTCCAAAAAAGAAAAACGAAAATGGGAAGCACACACAATCTGCCTTCAAAAGGAAAAGAGATGACAATTCATTTTCTGTCTTTAGACACCATTCGCCCGAGGACTGCTACATGCAATTCAAGTTTTTGAAACAGGTGTGGGGATGGGGCTGGATACGGGATTTTTATCATCATTATTCTTAGTATTATTTTATTATTTTTCAAGACTGGGCAAAGAAAAAAAAATTTAATTCCACTGTGGAGTGCAAAATAGAAAGTTCTGTGCCTGGTTTTGTTTTGATCGTCATTGCTATCATTTTAAGTGGACTGCGATAAACGGAATACCTGCCAAGCCGTTTGTCTCTCGTTTGGTGTTTGCCTGACAGCTCCCCTGCTTCGCGCGTTCGGCTTTGCCACATTTGGACCTCGCTCACTTCTCCCTCTCTCCCCCCGTTCTCTCTCTCTCACTCACTCACTCACTCACTCAGCTGCCTCTGTAGGCGAGGGTTGCATGTTGATGAAGGAGCCTTCGACGTCCTCTGCCCTTGAGAGGCGCAGCCCGGAACCCGGACCCTGCGCCCTGGCTGCCCAAAGTCTGCGATGCTCTGCGCTCCCTCCGACTCCCTCTCCCTCTCTCCATGAATGTGTGTGTGCGGTTTGTTCGGTTTTGTTTTGTAGGTTTTTTTTCTTCTCCCCCTTCTCGCTCTCTGCCTCCGTTTTGCTCCTTGTTGTCCGTCTCGGTGGGGTTCGGTTTGAGTTTTTAATCGTCTGAGGTCACGTCTATTTCCTCAGGGCTCGCCTGTTTGGTGGCGATTCTCCACCGGTTAATATGATGCGTCCCTTTTTTCTTTTGTTGCGAATCCGAGCCTTCTTCCTCTAGCTTCTGCCTTTTGAACTTCGTTCTTCTGTTTTGAAACCATACTTTTACCTGTCAGCAAGAAGCAGACGGGGCACGTTAGTTCCTCCGCTGCCTGGAAATAACCACTTGACCACTTTTCCCAGCCCAGGCCCTGAGCCCCAACTGCGAGGAGGCATTCCCCGGCTGCTTCCTCGGGGACCGCGCTCAGAGAGTGAGACCCCAAGAAGCTCTGCTCCCAGCCTGAGTCCTTCTAGAAGCTTCGCAGAAGACACAATGCTCTGGCACGCCTGCCCCTGCACTGTCAACCCACATCCTTTTGAAAGCAAAGATCTTGGAAAACATGAGAAGTGCCAAGAAAAAGAATGCCCCAAGTCTAAATGCGTTGCCATCAGGTTGAAACGGACTCGTGGTGACCGTACAGAGCAGGGGGACACTCCCTCAGGGTTTCTGAGACTATAAATCTTTACAGAAGCAGACCGCCTCTGCTGTCTCCTGCTCAGCAGCTGTGGGCTGGAACCCCTGACCTTTCTGAATAGCAGGCCCGGTTCCACTGGGGCTCCTTCAAAAATATAAGCAAGGGAGACTAAAAGAAATGGGTCCCTAACTCCTGCAGTGGAGACAGGAAAGACCTCTTTCGGTCACTGCAGCGCTAGGCAGGGCCCAAAGCCCTTTCTATTTTCGGAGACTTTGGCTGGCTTGGCCTAAATATAGCGCCTCCGCGGAATACGCGGGCCTGGGCGGGCGGTCTGGGGCCGCCTGGACAGCGAGCGCCAGTCTGAGACTCCCGCAGGTGAGCAGGGGAGAGCAGGGGAGATGCAGGAAGCGAGCGGGGAGGGTGCGGTGCACAGGCCTCTGGACCAAGCCAGCCTGACCTCTGAGCCCAGAAAAGCAGCTCCAAAGTGAAAGCTCTGAGAGGGAATGAAAAGCGAGAGGCTGAGGGAAAGACAGCCGGGGTGAAGGGCAGGGAGAGTCCTGCCCACCCCCTTTTAACCAGCCTCTGGATGGGCCTGGACTATGCTCCCACCCAGCTCACAACATGTGCCACTTTGGCCACTCCGGAGCTGCTCCTCGAGGTCAGGGAAGCAGGGAGATGTTCGCTGTGATTCTGGCCTCCTCCTGGAGAAGCCGGCTGAAAAGTCCCCATCCCAAAGTCCAAGAGTCACACTGCCCAAGCTTGCTCTGAGGATACTAGGGAAGGCTACGACAGAGGTGACTTCGCCCTGACGCCCCTCTCAGACAGAATTGTAGCGTGCCAGCACTACTAGCCCAGGCCAGGCCCAAGTCCCCAGGTCCCGGAAGGCCCGCTCCACACTCTGCTTTGGGCCAGCCAGCTAGGGTCTCAGCTCCCTTTTCCCCCAAAGCGCCCCATGGCCAAGTCGAGCGGGAACAAGGCTGAGTTTAATTTGCTTTGAGTTTGCTAATTGAGGGGGAGGACGGTTCATTTCTCTCCGGCGCTCGCCCAAGGCGCGCGTCCGTGCGCCGGGGGCTTGACACGCACACAATGGCTCCAGGCAGCGTGGGCAGCGAGGCGGACAAAGACCCCCGGCGCCTGGGCAATCGCGGAGCCAGCCGCCGCGCCAGGCGCCGGGCCGCGCCATGTCCTCCAGCCCCTCCTCGGGTGTGTGGGGGGAGGAACACTTTACAACAAAGGCCTCGACCTCTTTGCGCCTCCCAGAAAAAGTGTTACAGCTTAATCGGCCTGAAAATGTTACTGTTTGCGGGGAACTCTGACCCCCCCCCTCCGCGGATCTGTGTACAGTAGCGCCCACTGTAGCCGGGAGCCCCCTCCCCGCCTGGAGGCTGGCCCCGGCCCGGGACCCCGCAGAGCAGGACCGGCAGGTTCCCTGAGGCGGTCCCCCTCTCGACAGCCTCTCCTGGCTGGTACTTTGGTTTCGGGGTGCCCCTGGGACGCCTGACCTCGGCCATCTGACTCTCCGATCCCCTTAAGGGAAGTAATCCGAGCCGTCGAGGGGAGTTGAACACCCACAGCCGCTCACAGCTCTTTACGTGCTCCCCACCCTCTCTCGGTTCGCCCCCCCCCCAAAGCCAAGGCACCGGCTGATTGTCCGGGGGATACTAGGCCTGCCTGCAGGTACTCACGACTCAAACCAAAATTCTCAAAAAGTGGGGAGGTGACTAAAGAGAGAGAAGAGAAGGCACGCCCAGCCATCTGTCCGTGGGGTCGCGTAGGTTCAGCGCTTGCTGGAGCCCCACGAGTTCCAAGTGGCCGGCAGCCGGCCCCTGCCCGGTGCGGCAGGCCCTGGGCGAGCCCCGCGCGGTGCGGTGCGGCGCGGCGGTGCAGGCCGAGGTGGGGCGGCCCAGCCGGCGGCTGCGCCCCGCGCTCACCTGAGTTTCTGTGAGGCTGAGGCTGTGGGCCAGCTGCTTTCTCTCGGCGCCCACCACGTAGTGGTTCTTCTCGAAGGCGTGCTCCAGCCTCAGCAGCTGGGACGGGGAGAAGGCGGTCCGGATCCGCTTCGGCTTGCGGGCCAGCGCGTTGTGCAAAAGGAAGCTCTCCGGGCTGGTGTCGTTCCCTGCGGGGTGACAGCACAAGGCCCGTTCATGGGGGCGCTTCGGCCCGCGCCGCGCGCTTCTCCCGAGCCGGGCTCCGCGCTGCGTCCTCGCCTGGCGCGCGGCCTCGGTCCCGGGGCCACCTGTGCGAACCCACCCTGCAGTGCCCGGGAGGGCGGCGGGTGTCCCGGCCCCTGACACCGCGGGCCTCGGAGCCAGGGCAGATGGCGGCGATTCGGGCAGCTGAAGCGCCCGCGGGGCCGGGGGAATCGGACTCTGTCCAAACTCTGAAAACTTTGCCCCCGGGCGGGCGGAGAGGACGAGGGCCGCTTTCTCCAGTTTATTCGCAGACTTATTGGAAAGGGAGTGAAGTCTTACCACCTTCTGGGGAAGTGCCCTGGGACCGGGACAGAGCTGTAGCCGGTCAGAGAGCCCCCGGCTTCTGCTGTCACCGCCTCCCAGGGCCCAGCTCCGCGCTCTGTAGCCACCAAATCCGAGGTTACTGGAGGGTCGCCTGCGGGCACCGCTCAGACTGGCTGCGGGACCCGTGGGTCCTTGCCGCCCGGGCCCGGTTAGAAACCAAGAGCGAGACTGGCAAAGAGGCAAAGAGCCCCACAAACTTTGCTAGCCAAGCCCGAGAGGTGCAGCTTCCTCATTGGGGCAGAAATCGAGACACCAGAACCCCAAACAAAGAAGAACAAACCAGAGCGTGGGGCCGGTAGAGGCAGCAGACCCCGGCTACGAGGGAATCTCCCTTCTCATTAGTTTTGTGCATTAATTACGGGGGTGGCATCGACCCGAAGCTAATATTTAGCAGGAAAGCGAAGGGTTAATGCCTGGCCAGGCGCCGGGTATCGATCTGCCCGGGCTGCGCTTTCTCCGTTCCCATCGCTAAGCTAATTACACTCTGCTTTTCCTATCGTTTCAGCCGCCTTTCAGCCCCCACCGAGAGACGGTGTAAAAACATCACTTTTTATAAAGACAAGAAACAAACCAACAAAAACAAACAAACAAACAAACAAAAACCATCCAAAGAGGCCCTCCCGCCTCGCTTGGCTCCTGACTCGGTGCATTTCCTCTAAAAGAAAGAAAAACAAAACCCGTGGCCCCCCTAGTCCCGAGTAAGCTGGTCGCTGTGCGAGCGCTGAGCCCCAGAGGCGTCTGCCCCTGCGGCGCGACCGAGCTCCGAAAACTGGGAAAAATAAGTCCCAGATTTTGCTCCATAGTCGTGAGAGTCCCCTCGGCGCCCGAGGAGGGTTGGCCACTGGAGTCTGGGCCGGGCCAAACCAAGTCGAACGTGCCCAACTTGGTGGAAAGCAAACCTGGCGACCAAGCTGGGACCTCGGAGCCGGGGCCTCGGGATATCGCCGAGGAGACCAACGAGCCCGGGCCCGCGGGTTCCCGTTCCCGGACCGCACGCACTCGGGGACGACTTCGGGGCCCACGCCCATTCCTGAGGGCCAAGAGCCGCCAGGCCAGCGCCGAGGACAGGCCTCGGGTCCGGGGACAGGGGACCACGCGCCAGCCCGGTCCGGGCTTCGTCCCCGCAGGCGAGGCGGCCTCCCCAGGCCTGGCCGGCGCCTCCGAGAGGGCCCGGCCGTGCTCGCTGGGGCTGCGCGGCCCGCGACGTGGCACGTACCTTGGAAGCGGTGACCCAGGTACCGGTAGCGGTGGATGAGCCAGGGGTAGAAGGTGGACGGGTCCCGCTGCTGCGAGGCGAAGAGGGGGTGTGGCGAGTGCGACGAGGGCAGGGGGTGGGCGGCCAGCGCGTGCGGCGGCGGCACCGGGTGCACCGGCACCGCGGGGTTGGGCGGGTGCGACACCGCCTCGGCGAACACCAAGTCCGGGTTGGAGTAGACGCCCCTGCCGGCGGCGGCGGCGGCGGCAGCGGCCGAGTGGAAGCCGTTGAGGAACGGGTTGATGGGGCTGGAGTTGGCGTAGCTGAGCGCGGCGGGCCGGATGGGGTCCTCGGAGCGCGAGGCGGGCAGGGGACTGTCCTTGGCCACCAGAGATTCGATGGTGAAGCAGCGCTTGGGCGCCGGCTGGAACATGCTGCGCCGAGGAGCGGCCGCCCGGGGCTCCCGGCTCCCGGCGACCGCGGCGCTGCCTCCTTCGCGCGCGGCCCGGGGCGCACGGCGAGCCGAGCGGGGGCTTGTTTGTTTGGGGTGGGGGGAGGCAGGGAAGAAAGAAAGGGAAGGGAAGGGACGAGGAGAGGAGGGGGAGGGGACGGAGAGGCGACGCGAGGATCCCGAGAATCTTGCACCAAAGGCGCCCAACCTGGAGAGAGGGGGAGAAATCCTTCCAGAAGAATTTGCAGGCGTGGATTGGGGTAATTTTTTTTCTCTCTCTTTCTCTCTCTTTTTTTTTTTTTTTCGAGATGGCGTGGGGGATCGGAGTTAGAGGCGGGGGGGGGAGTTTCTGGGGGAGGCAAAAAAAAGTTTTCTCTCCTCTGCAAAAGGCGGGCAGGGCGCCTAAGTCCAAGGACAATCCATGGAAGTGTTCGCTTCTTCACAAGTTGTGCAAACGATTTGTTAGTTCATGAGCCTAATTAGCGCGGGGATCACATAAACAGCTTCCTCCGATGCCTGGTAAATGGCTTGATGATTGGTCGCTATTACTCGCCCCGAGGTGGAAGGGGGGGAGACTCTTTAAAGTGCGTCAGAGGGCGGCGCGCGTCCGGGAACCCGGAGGCCTGGATCGGCGCCGAGAGTGGAACGGAGTCGGCCCCGCGCTGCCGCCCCCCGCTCCCGCTCAGCGCCCGGCTCCGGCCCCCGCGCCGCCGCTGCTGCCGCTCCTCCCGCGCCGCCCTGGCTTCCTCCGGCTTTTCCTCCTCCTCCTCCTCTTCCTCCTCCCCTCTCCCCACCTCCTCTCGCTCAGCCCTAGCCTCCTCCTGCACCACTCCCTCCGGGGCACCCGGGTCCCTGCAGAGTCCCCGGGCCCGCGCTGCCTCCGCGGCGGCCCCCTAGATCCCCAGCCTGCAGCGCCCAAGCTGATGGGACAGACAGACAGACAGGCCGATGCCTCGCTCCGCGCCCCGCCCCGCTGTACCCCGGCGGCCCCGCGTCGGGGGAGCAGGGTCGCCCGCGAGCACCGAGAGGGTAAGCGCTGGGGGGCTGGTGGGGAGAGGGCTAGAGCCACTGGGGTTCGTCAGCCTCTTTCCCCGGCAAAAGACCCCCAAAACAACCCCCCAAGGCGGGGCGCCTTGGGGGGGACCTCCCACGCCTCCGACCCCGCAGAGCCCGAGGTCCCGGGTCAGGTCGTGGAGTTCGCGCCCTTGACCCTGCTCATCGGTCTGCAACCTCTCCCAGGCGGTGGGTCCCCCGCCCGCGGGTTCTCTCCCCAGGCTCCCACTTCTGTCTGTGGAGGTCTCACCGCCACCCCTGCTCGGTGCTTTCTGGAATAGCTGGGCGGGGGTCCCGGCTCGCTGGAGCTGCTGCGGTGGTGCGGGGCTGTGAGCGTTGTGTTACCAGCAGCGTTATTTTTGTGGGTGGTGTTATTGTTATTATTACTGCAGAGACTGTCGCTGTTATTGGTGTTGGTTATTTCTATTATTATTCTGCCATCTGTCGTCCCCGGGGCGGCTCACTATGCAAACCCACGGCTCCAAAGTGCGCGCAGCCGCTGGGTCCCCAGTCCTAGCCCGTGTCCGCATTTTCGAGCTCGCCTTCGGTTTTGGGATGATTTTAGGGCCCCGTTCCCTCGTCCCCATTGGCTCACGCGGCGGCATAATTATGATCACATCCCCCAGGCTGCTGGCGCAGCTCTGTGTTTATTGGTGGTTAAAGATCCATTATCTATTCATCAGCCGCCTCTTTTTCCTTCTTTCCCCCCTTCTTCTTTTTGCCAATTACGTTCTTCTAAAGTGAAGTACCAGCAGGTATTTTGCACGCTGACAATTAATCATATACACATATATTTCTGTTTAAATATCTGACGTGCTTTAAAAGTACTACTCCGAAGAAGTCTGTGTCACTTCTCTTACGGACGCAGAAGTGCAAGTGTTTGGTGACTAGATTGCCAGGACCTCGGAAGAGAGAGAAGACGTGGCTAATCCGCCACCAGATTGATCAGCCCAGGGTCCTGGGAAATGAGATTCTCTTTAGCTGCCCCACCCACAGCCCTGCGCTCGCGTCCCCAGCCCTGCTCTGCCTTTGACTCTTGTGTATTTCTTTCTGTCGATTTCTTAACGCAGCAAGTGGGGAAATCTTTTCCCCAAAGCGCCAAAGTTGGGAACAGTGTCTTCTGAAGTTGTCCATTTCTGGGGACAGACAAGTAGATGTTCAGGAACAATCATCCGTCCCCTTGACGTGGCCAGCTTGTGCACATGCTCCAACGCCAGCCCCGGGGCCTCTGCCTTCACCAACTGCCCTCCTTCATCAGTGGATCTCTGCTGGCCCAGCTGCGGGCTGACTGAGCCCTTGCTGGTTCCTCCCCAGACCAGCTTTGCTTTGCTGCCACTTTGTACCCAGATCAGAGGAGTTTCAGGTGTTAGAGCCAACCTGGTGAGGTGGGTGCTGCCTCAAACCTTCCTCATTCAGGTCTGGACCAAAGCCTACTTCTGAATTAAAATATCTGGTCCAAGGGCCCACCGTGCCCAGATCGGTACGGAGTGTCCAGGGTCACTGCAAAGATCTCTGGGCTGCGTCCAGCCAGCTTGCACAGGGCAGGACTTGAAAGTCAAGCCTAGATGCCTGGGTCAGGGAAGAAAGCCTGGGCTTTGGTGGGTGTTGGATCCTGTAAGCATTTGCGAAGACCTGGATGCCCAAAGTCTGGCCCAGCCCTCAGGGCAAACACTCCACACTCCCAGGGATAAAGGGGAGGGCTAATAGTCCGTGGCTGGCATTTGGTGCAATTTATTGGAAGGTTGGTGATCTAGGCTTGGGATACAAGATCAAAAAGTCCCTGGTCTCAGGACAGGAGACCCAGTCTGTGTCCGGATGGCACAGGGCCCAGGATGGTTTGTCTAAGGATGATGATCTAAGGGACATTAGGCCTGCGGGGAAGGGACTGGCGGTGACCCCGTGACACTTTCCTACTCATTTCTAGGAGAGAGAGTGCCAAGGGAGTGAGGTCCAGGCTGGAGCCTGACGCCACAGCCTCCGGCCCAAGGCTGTAGTGGGGGGTAGAGACATTTGTGATTTGTGGGGCCTTCATTAAGTCAACTTCATTACTTGTGCAGGCCTCCTGCCTCTAGTCGACCAGCAGGTGGGTGCAGGGGTGCAGGTGAGAAGGCAGAAGGGGAGTGTAGCACTCCACTGTGGGCTCCTGCAGCAGAACCCCACACCCAAGCAGCACTAGGCTCCCGGAAGGGAGGGAGAAGCGGGCTGCCTGAGAGCCTCTGACCGGGGAAACCCTGAACCGGGTAGATACATTCCGTGGGACTCGACAGAGGAGCCCCTCCCGGAAGGTATGCACCGCGGGCCCCCACGTGCACGGAAATTAACGAGGAAAGTGACTCATTAACCAGACTGGAGCAGAGGCCGGCTGGGGCTCTAGACCCCACGCTCAGCACTCTGGCCCCCGCGTTGTATCCTTAGATGCGTCTACTCTTTACCCCGGTTTGGCCAGACCAGTGCGGGCCGCCCGCTTCTTTGTCTCTTGGACGCCTGGGATGGATGAGTGTGCAAGTCTTAGCGTGGTTGGTATTCAGCCCTGAGCTGCAGGCTCCACTGTTCGCCTGGGTCAAGAATGTACGTCCTGCAGTCAGTCGGATCTGCAGTCCCAGGGCGGATGGAAGTTCTAACCCTGGACCTGACCAGCCCCGCGCCACCTTGGGCCACACCGGCTGTCTCTCTGCACCTCCATTTTGCTTCCTATAAAAAATAGGAGCGGGGTACCGAGAAGGCGCTGGAGTCTTGACTGGAGGGAAGGAGGAAGGAATCTTTCTACATTATTCTCTCTCTCCCTCTCCCATCACTCTTGTGAAAGTGCTTACATGACTTTATGAGTTCAGCCATCAAAACTCAAAGAAATGTACACTGTGGAGGGTGAATTTAACTCTATGTAAATTATCCTTTAATCGGCCTCCCCGCAAAGACTCAGGGCTGGATCCACAGCTCAACTGTGGGACCTTGAACACGGTTATGTGACCTCTCCAGGCCTCCGTCCCCTCTTCTGTCAATGGGGTCGGCAATAGCACCAGGCCCTTGGGGTTGTCATGAAGATTCAATGAAATGAGCCAAGCAGAGGGTTTCAATGATGTCCAGCACCGACTTAGCTGCAGTAAACAGTCCACTCTTGTCCTAAGCTGCCCCTACCCGCCCCTCTTGTCTTCCGGCCCCAGTTCACAAACCAGGAGGCCAAAGAAGAGGCGGTCCTGCTGCACCTCCAAAGGTCGTGAGCTTCCCTGAGAGTGCTGGAGTGATTCCAGGCTCAGGCAGGCATCAAGGGGTCAAGATTTCAGGTGAATCCTGGAAAATACATCTGGCTCCGCTTTCCTGCCCAGCCCTCGTACTTCGTGCTTCGGAGGCTCTGGCGGCTGCTGGATGTCTAGTGCAGTGGGCTAGCTGGACGCACATTCCCGGCAAAATGGGAGGGTGCTGTACAGAGCTCATTGTTGCCATGACCATGACCTTCGCCTCCTTGAGCCTCTGTGTCCTCACCTAGGCGATGAGCTCTTGAGAGCAGTAAGTGCTCGAGGGTGGCACCCTGTAAATGCTCAGGAACTCTTCCTAATTAAGCCAGGGCGGGCCACGTTGTTCGTTCCTCCCTCCAGCGCACTTTGCCCAGAAAGGCCTCCGCGAGGTGGGCTCTCCGCGTGAGCCGGGCAGTGAGTGGGCACCGGGCAGCACGGACTCCGGTGATGGGTGAGCTGGGTGGCCTGGGTTCAGGAGATCTCAGGGGCAATACCACCGGGGGCCCCGTGACTCCTCCGAACGGAAAGATGGTGATGGGAAGCAAAAAGTAGGATTACTAACTCAAAAACATTTTTTAAAATTGTTACTATGGTGAATCTTTTTTGGCTCCCTCCCTAGCGGCGGTTCGCCTACCTGCAGTCCTGATCGGTGTGCGCGCAGCGGCGCCTAGTGGCAAGGCCCGACCCAAAGCCTGG